AAGGGCGTCTCCTCCGGTGGGGGTGCGAACGTCGCGTGGCGCCTCTCCGGCTCGCTGTCCGAGGCCAAAGTCAGGCTTTTAAGTCGGCGGGCATCCCTAAACCTAGCCACAACTTCCTCCTCTCTCTCGCGCCGTCAGCCCGGACACATTTCTCTCCGTCTCCACTTTCCTCTTCCCTCGCCGTCCGATATGGCCCGGCAGTAGAAGACCACATACGCTATGCTAAAACCGGAGCGCTACTTCCAGATCGAGGAGGAGATCCGGACGCGGTGCGTAGCCCGGATCGCAACAAAGAATTTCCAGTCATTTGTATGACTTACAATTGGGAATTATATGCTCTTTGCATGAGATTTCAACTTCTCAAAAAAATAGGTTCGCGTTATTATAGAATTATTTTTTCATAGTAAAACATATTTTAGTCGAGACGTGCGTTGCACGTGCATGCTTACTAGTTATACAAGATAGCGTCGAAGGTGATCTCTAACAGATTGAAACAAGTGCTCCCTGACATAATCTCGGAAGAACAGTCAGCCTTTGTTCCTGGCAGGTTGATTACAGATAACATCATTACGGCTTGCATTTCATGAAGAGAAACAAAGCAAAGAAGCATCAATCCTGTGCACTCAAGCTTGACATGATGAAAGCCTATGATAGGGTCGAGTGGACTTATTTAAAAGCAATCATGCTCAAGTTGGGCTTCACAGAGAGATGGGTGAATATTGTGATGAGCTTGGTTACAACCGTCAAATTTTCTGTTTTGTTGAATGGGAAGAAACTACAACAGTTTATCCCTTCAAGAGGGATCAGACAAGGGAACCCGATATCTCCATACTTGTTCTTGCTAGCAGCAGAGGGCCTTTCGTGCCTGTTAAAATCAAAGAGTGGGTCATCAAACTTGCATGGCCTACAGGTAGCTACTACGGCGTCACCAGTGAGCCATCTTCTATTTGTTGATGACAGCCTGCTGTTTTTCAAGGCAAACGGTGTGGGGGCAAACGAGGTGAACCAAGTTCTGGAAACATATTGTCAAGCAACTGGGCAGCGCATCAACTACTCAAAATCTTCATTGTATTTCAGCAAAGGGGTGCCGGATACGGTGAGACAGGAGATAAAGGATACACTCAATGTTCCTAATGAAACTCTCAACGAGAAGTACTTAGGGATGCCTTCAGATATTGGTAATTCAAAAAATGGTGCATTCAAGTATCTTAAGGACCGTCTGTGGAGTAAGGTACAAGGGTGGATAGAGCAAACGCTTTCCATGGCAGGGAAGGAAGTTCTTGTAAAGGCTGTGGCCCAGGCGGTACCGGTTTTTTCGATGTCCTGTTTTAAACTTCCCAGAGGGCTTTGTGAACACCTAAACATGCTCATTAGAAAGTTCTGGTGGGGAAGCAAAGAGGGGAAACACAAACCTCATTGGGTTTCCTGGAAAACTATGACCCAACCTAAGAGCATGGGGGGTTTAGGGTTCAAAGATTTCGAACTGTTTAATCTGGCAATGCTGGCTCGTCAAGCACGGCGCCTCTTGCAGACTCCTGAAACCCTGAGTGCGCGAATTCTGAAAAGTGTTTACTACCCAACTACAGATCTTCTGCGTGCCGATTTAGGGAGTCACCCGAGCCAGGTATGGAGAGCAATAGTAGAGGGCAGAGATACGCTCAAGCAGGGGCTGATCAGGAGGATTGGTAATGGAAGCACAACGGGTTGCCAAGGGACGAGATGAAAAGGCCCTATGCTTGCCGAACACTGAACCCACCTATGCTAGTTTCTGAACTCATCTCTCCCGTGTCAGCAACGTGGGATAAACACCTGGTGCAAGCTACTTTCTTGCCAATGGATGTCCAAGTGATAATGGGGATACCGTTGTGCACTCGTAACATTCCTGACTTCTGGGCTTGACACCACGAAAAGCACGGTTGCTTCTCAGTAAAATCAGCGTATAATATGCTTGTTGCAACTAGAAACAGAAGGGAAGCATGGCTTGAGGAGGGGCCAGGCCCGTCTAGCTCTAGTGAAGAGGTAGGAGCATGGATACATTTGTGGAAAACTCAGGTCCCAGGGAAAGTTCGCATGTTCTTATGGCGCCTATCTAAACACTCATTGCCGACAAATGATGTGCGGGCACATCGGCACATGTCTGATTCACCCTGTTGTGGTCTATGTGGGGCGCGGGACTCATGGCGTCACTCCCTCGTTGAGTGCACTTCTTCGAGAAGCGTTTGGGCTCTAATGAATGAGGAGGTTACACATAAAATCATATCAACAACCGAACCCAAGGCGAAGCAATGGCTATTCACTCTGATGAATTCAATGTCCCACAAAGATTTTGTCCTTGTGGCCGTGACACTCTGGTCGATTTGGTACGCTAGGAGGAAAGCCATCCATGAGGCGATCTTCCAAAGTCCCGATGCCACACATGGTTTTATCATGAGCTTCATCTCTGAACTGGAAGGAATAAAGGGCAGCCAAGAGCAAAGAGGCAGGGTCGTGCCGACGCCCATACATAGAAATTTGAAGCCGAAAAAACCACCAACAGGATACTGCAAAATCCATGTGGATGCAGGAGTCCAGGGAAGGACAGGGGGTGCAGCCGCTGCTGTCTGCAGGGATGAAGGTGGTAATTGTCTTGGCAGCTCTGCTCTTGTGATTGAAGGTGTTACCGATCCAGCAAGTCTAGAAGCAATAGCATGCCGGGAGGCACTAGCCCTCGCCGAGGACTTGGACATTCATCATTTTGTGGTTGCTTCGGACTGCCAGCAGGTGGTGTCGGATATCAGGAGAGAAGGCCGAGGTCCATATGGAGCAATCATCAGTGAGATAAATCTGAAAGTTTCATCTTTCCATTGTACTTTTACTTTCAAAAGTCGTGCTATTAATTATGAAGCACATAGCTTAGCAAAATTTTGATTAAATAGGGGTCCGGGCAGGCACGTTTGGCTTGGTGCCCCTCATGACCCAAGATGTATCCCACTCAATGTGGAATTCCATGAATAAAGTTGGTTTTCCACCCTCAAAAAAAAAAAAAAAAACCTACCCCTTGCCAGCCATCCGTGTCCAGCTTGGTCGTCGCTAATTACGTGCACATGTGTCGCTTAGGTTTAGGGAGCCCTGCTCGATCTGAACTCGGAGTCGATCGGGCCTCCATCGAAACCAAAGTTATAAATAGCTATCACCCAACACGCCCTTCCATTGATCCATCCAACACGTTCGCTCCTCTCGCAACTCACGAAAACAACTGCAAGCACAGATTGTATGCTTCGGTCGCCGCTTTCGCATCCATCGCTCACCGCCATCGCCGCCGTCAACACAGGTCTCCCGTCTCTCTCGACAACAACGAGACCGCTGCGCTCTTTGATCCATCTGGACGATGAAGCTCGTCGGAAAAAGCCTCGCCCGCGACGGGCCCGGCTCCGTGAAGCTATTGCCGGAGGTGGATGACGACCTGTGGGACGCCTACAACCTCATCGCCGCCGGCGACGCCGTCGAGGCCGTCACGGTCCGGAAGATCACGAGGTCCGGAGGCCGCGACGCGGAGCGCATCAAGCTGACGCTGGAGGTCGCGGTGGAGTCCACGGACTACGACAAGGACGGCTCCGTCCTGCGCGTCCGCGGCAAGAACCTCACCAAGAACGAGCACGTCCAGATCGGCCAGTACCATACCTTGGAGATCGAGCTGCGGAGGCCCTTCGTCCTCCGCAAGGAGGCCTGGGACTGGCCGGCGCTCGACACCATCCGCAAATCCTGCGACGAGACCGCCGCCAACGCCGACCTCGCCGTGCTCCTCATGCAGGAAGGCCTCGCCCACCTCTTCCTCGTCGGGAGGAGCGTCACGGCCACCAGAGCGCGCGTGGAGGTGCCCATCCCCAGGAAGCACGGCTCCAGCTCCGGCGCCGTCGCCGCCTACGACACCGCCCTCAAGGACTTCTTCCAGCGCGTCCTGGCCGCCTTCGTGCACCACGTCGACTTCGACCTCGTCCAGTGCGTGGTGATCGCCAGCCCCGGCTTCACCAAGGACCAGTTCCGCGACCACATGCTCCTCGAGGCCGCGCGGCGAGGGGAGCTGCGCGCGATCACCGAGCACAAGGCCCGCATCGTGCTCGCGCCCGCGCCCTCGGGCTACCCGCACAGCCTCAAGGACGTCCTCGCCGCCCCGAGCGTCATGTCGCTGATCAAGGACACGAGGGCCGCGCTGGAGGTGCCGGCGCTGCAGGAGTTCTATGCCATGATCGCCAAGGACTCGGCGAGGGCTTGCTACGGGCCCAAGCACGTCGAGGTTGCGCATGAACGTCTCGCCATCCAGACACTCCTGCTCACGGACACTTGGTTCCGCAACCCTGACGTTGTTGCTAGGCGCAAGTGCGTCGATTCGGCCGAATCGGTGAAGAAGATCGGTGGCAAGGTGTGCGTCTTTTCGTCCATGCATGTCTCCGGCGATCAGCTCGAGCAGCTCACGGGGATAGCAGCGGTTCTTCATTTTCCCATGCCTGATCTCGACGACATCGAGATGTGATTTATTGCTCTGCTTTTTTTTCTTCTACTACTACTAGGGTGTACACTCTCTGTTTTACTTTTACTTGGAACTATAATATCGTTTTAGACGTCCCGAATACACAATTTTGATCACTTATTTCTATTATATGCCATATTTATTTATGTAAGCAGGCAAAGTTTATATACATTGTGGAGCTGATTTTTCATTGAAAATATCAGTGCAGAAATCTATCAAGTTAGAGCATCTCTAGCAGACCCCTTAAACTGCGAAACACGAAAAACACATTTTAAGGATTGGTTTCAGCTTATGGTCGAGCAGACCCTTTAAACTTAGACTGTAAAACCGAATGTTCACGTATATTCTTCCTCGCGTCTTCTTCTTTCTCTCGCCTATGTTCACGGTCAGCTAGCTCGATTGTACGAATCCGGTGGACAACGCACGAAGTGGCCAAATAGCGTCGAGGACAGCTCGCACGAAGCGCCCCCACATCGCCGTCGTCGTCGCTACTCGAATCGATCCATAAGCTAGCTAGCGTCGGCGTCGAATCGATCTCAGGAGCTAGCTCCCGTCGCCCTGGCCAATCGATCCAGAAGCTAGCTAGCTCCCGTCGCCCGTAGCTGCCAATTACGGAGCCGCAGGTGTGATGAAGCCGCCGCATCTCGTTCCTCTTCCTCGCATCTAGCACGAACGGGGGCGGCCATGGCCACAGGCACGCGCTCAATCCTTTTGCAGTGTAGAATTTTGTTGGAGCAGGAAGAAATCATCGGCTAGAGAGGGTGGTACGAACGGCGGCGCACGGGGAGAGGGGGGCGGAAGGACCTGATTCATGGCCTGCGTACTATCCTCGGACCTGTAGAACTAGGGGTCAGAGGCTCGCGTTTTCGATGGCCTGTAAAACTTTTATGGTTCCGCAAACTTTTACGTGGTCCGTTTTGGACACAAAATTGGTTCAAGTTGTAAACCCGCTGAAATTTTATAGGTTTGGTGTTTTTAAGGGGTCTGCTAGAGATACTCCTAATAAACTCCCTAGAATCGCTGACTCATGGCTTGGTAATCGCTGCCCGAGGAGGATATATGCATGGGAAACGTTTAGGTACGGCGCACCGGTCGAGCTTTGGGCCAAACGCGCGCGAGCCATGCGATTGAGGCAAATCCTACGCATACAACAAGGCCCTCGATTTTTTTTGAGGCCACAGAAATATCAGTCCACCGCCCGCATCTCGCTCCCTCTCGCTCTTATCCGTTCCCCATTCATCTCCCTCTCGTCCTCTCCACACACTTGCTCCGCGCAAGCCCACTTTCACCGTCGGCCGGTGCTTGCTGCGCTGGCCGCTGCTGCTCCCTCATGGGATGAGGCGTTGAGGTGCTGTGCAAGGGGAGCTGCAAGCCACATCTGGTGGGCCTGCAAGCAGCAGAGGGAAGCGTTGGGAATGGCGACGACCGCCGCCGCCGCCACCGACGCCCAGCTGCACCAACGAGGCGGTCTGCAACCAGCATGATGGCGAGAACGACCGCAGCTAAGTGCTACAACTACGGCAGCGAGATGCTGGGACCAGCACCCCAAATTGCTACTACCAATGTTTTTTTAGTTTCGTCCCAATTTTACTGTTTTTTTGCTACCACTGCTATTTAGGATTGCTGGAACTAGCACAAAATTTTGCTACAACCGGCGCTCTTGATTTTGCTGGAACTAAACCAATTTTTGCTACCACTGGCGTTCTAGTTTGCTGGAACCAGATCTATTTTTTGCTACAATCAGACATTTTTTTCTTTTGCTGGAACAAATTCCAGTTTTTGGAATTTTGTTTCCAATGGTGTTTTATTTTGCTGGAACCACTTCATTTTTTTGCTACCTCCAGTGTTTCAGTTGTTGGAACATTGCCCAAGTTTTTGCATTTTTGCTTCCATCGTTTTTTATTTTTGCTGGAACCAACCTGAAAATTTGGTACCACCATATCACGATTTTTGTTGGAACCATGTTCCGAATTTGTTGCAACCGGCAATTTCTTTTGCTGGAACCTGCGATGCGACCAACATGACGGGGAGATGGATCATTGGATTTTGCTGGAACCACAATAGGGGAGCTGCATCGTTGGGTTTTGTTGGAACCGGCAACATGGATAGCTACAACCGACAATTTTTTTTGCTACAATCATCTATGGGACGAGAACTACGGGAGAGCTGAATCGACCCTTTTTCTGGCGGCCAGATACGACACCGGCGAGCTGCAACCGACGAAGATGGCGAGCTATGACGGGGTGCAGGGGCGCAAGATGCGGAGGGTGCGGCGTGCTGTCGAGAGCGCTCCTTTTTTTTTCTCCCGAGAGATGTGCGAGAAGAAGGAACAGCAGATCGTGCGGTTACGCAAGCGCGGATCGTGCGGATAGCGACCGACCCGCCCAAATTTGGGCGGGTGTGCCGGCGCCCAGCGCTGCCCTATATGCATGCGTATTAGCGTTGCGGCCGTATGGACTGTGGTCCTTTAAACCTAGTGACGCACGGCAACATCACATGTCAGGTGAACACACACACGCACAGAGGAATGCGCGCACCCACCACCGGTCGACAACAAAGACACGACGTGTAAACGCACCATAAAGACACACAAAAAAGTGCACGTTATCCTCTACTAGTTAGTACCCAATGAAACTACTAGTAAAACCAAAAATAAACGGATGCAGTGACAACCGATGAGACCGGTCTGCCCAATTGCAAAGTGTTGTGGGCGATGTCGTGATATTGTTATCGAAACGGTCGGGGAATAGTGAGCAAACATGCACTAACCCCGATCGCTAACCCATATTCGCAAATCCCTGTGCCTCTCTCTCACCGGTTTTCAAAAGGTTCTAGAACCTTCCTTGAACCGGGTTTTTTATTTGTGTTTTTTATTTTATTGTTTTTTCTTTCTTCTTCTTACTTTTGTTTTCCTTTTCATTTTTGTTTTCCGTTCTAAAATTTGGAATAATTTTTAAAATTCATGAGCTTGTTTTTGAATTCATGAATATTTTTTTAATTTTTGAAATATTTCTTGAATCCATGGACACTTTTTTGGTATTGGCGAACATTTTTTGAACCGATGGACATTTTCCGAAATTTGCAAATACTTTTCTGACTTTTACGAAAATAATGTGATTCAACAGACATGTTTTGTACCGATAATCATTTTTTGAATTTGGTACTATTTTTAAAATTGTGAACATTTTTTGAATTTATAAACAATTTTAAATTTTGAAAAAAATAAATTCATGAATATTTTCTGAAAATCAGAATTTTTAAAATTGTGATTTTGAAAACATGAACTAATTTTGAAATTTAGGAACATTTTTCTAATTCGTAAACACTCATTTGGAATTTTGATTTTTTTAAACTCAAGAACATTTTTTGAAAGTTTAAAATTTGTGAATATGTTTAGATCTCAATTTTTTAAAAGAAACAAAAATACGAAAAGGAAAACAGGGGCGTCCACTCCATATATGGGCAGTTCAAAAGCGCCCGTGAATTGCGAATTGCCACTAAATCGCGCTGTGGGCCGAGCCCAGTACATCGCTTGCCTCGAAACAAGCAAACCAGATCTCGGCGACGGCTGGTCTGTTGGCCGATGCTGATTCGCATGTAGATGTAGCCCTCCCGCCAATTCGAGGAGAGGGGGTTAGACGCTCTTTCGTCCTTGCCGGGCTACTCCGGTGCACACGACACCACAGTCTGTTCCACGTCCGTTTCACGCCAGATTTCACCATCTGCTATTTTGGTTGTTTTGTCAAAAGAAAAGAAAAGGACACAAAAAGGTCATGCGCTTCTTTGTGCATGAGTCCATCGACACCGACCAACTAGTCTAAACGAACGTTCATCCATTTCCCCTCGCCAACGTTTTTCGGTTGTTTTATTAGCTCAAGCTGGTTCTCGTGTGGTGTCGTATGAGTTGCTACTTTTGCTAGTCTTTTTTTCTTGTTTTAACTAACCTAGATGCTCTGAATAGACTTGTGGCTACCGATTGTAATCGTACCAGTAACTAAATAAAGCTCCCTTTTTCACCGCAAAAAAACCTACATGGTCATCCGCATAAAAAATAAAAAGAAGTCTTAAACGAACTTGTTTGCAAAAAGTCTAAAATGTTATTGTCTTCTTGCGTTTGTAAGGTTAGAAGTTTAGGAACTTTAGGTTGTGCGTGTGCCATTGCGAGATTTGATGTTGGGTGCTTCAAATCTATTGAAGGGTTCAACGGCAACGATTAGGGCTCCAGGGCGCTAGTCCTTAAGGGCATATACATGAAGACTTCCTGGCTGTCATCGACAAGGTGAAGACGACTCCGGTAGGAGAGCGGCAACAGGAGAGCGTTGACAGCTCGTTTTGGTGGCAGTAGTTCTAGTTCAGTGGTCTACGGACCCTGGTGTAATTTTTAATCATGCTTGAGGCGCTTTATAATTTTGTTGAACTTTTATAAATGACCGGGATCCCTTTACAAAAAAGCTAAAAGCTATTAATCCTTTTACTCTTATTGATCATTTCGTAAACTCATTCATTCCCGTAAAGGACGGTGAGAACTATTTTTCTTATACAACTCGGTGCATCAGTATCTTTTATAAGCTCTCGTCAAACTCTCACCTGGGTTTCGTCTTAAATCACAAATGAAATGTTTCTTTCCACGTGATTTTTGTCGAAACAAATATGAGTTCAAAAGGCTACGCACATTTGTTCCCATGTATTAAGAGTACCGGCCAGGTAAGTTGATATCCATAATATTGCGAGTTTTCTTCCTTCCCGAGAAAGAAAGGAAAGGTGATCTTGTCAAGAGAGACCAACTATCCGACGCCGTCCTTCAGCAGCTCCCCTCCACCAACCTCTTGGTCGTTGGTGGTGAGGGGGGTCACTGGATCCCCCGGGCGCGGATCGTGTAGTTTTAGGTTTTAGGGCCCTAGTAGCTTAGGTTTTGGGTCGCTCGACGTCTTGGCTTCGGCGACACAGTGCTGAATAAAGTAGCTCCAGATCATTCCTCGACAAAGGTGTTCTACTCTATGGTCGTTGATGGATTTGGAAACTAGTCTTTTCAAGCAAGGATGACGTGGCACCGATGGCATTCTTATTGTGAACTTGTTTGCTCGGCTCCGCCGTTGCGGTGGTGTTCGCTCTAGCGTTGAAGCGGAGCACGAAAAGTTGTTCAGGAGTGGGTGCTGAGGGTTATCTACGTTAGTGGCAGCTGGAAGACGATGGATTCGTGGTTGCAGGCTGGTGGGTCAGATTTCCTCCTCCAATGTCATCGCGTGGGGGTGTCAGATATGAATTTTGATGGTTCTGCCCCAATCAGATTCTTTCAATGGCAATGACTTTGTTTTTGACGAGCTGCTTTGAAGGTTCAAAAGGCTGTATATCAACGAAGGAGACGCGTTGAGCTTGAGTAAAGAAGTGTTCTGTCATCTTTTCGTTAGGTGACGCTTAACGGATTCTTCGGTCTTAATTGTAAAACATTTCTTGGCTGGAAGTCTTCTGGGCTATTGTTAGAATTTTATTGTCTTTCTAGTTTGTCACATCGATGTCTACATGGCTTGTACATTTTCCTTTGGTTTATAAATGATGTGATACGTATTACCCGAAAAAGAAAACAGAGCTTTTTTTTTTTTGAAAAGGAAAACAGAGCCTTTTGAGCTAAAGACGAAGCAACTCAAACAAGTACTTATAGCGAAAGTGACCAGGCCACTCATTCTGCCGTAAAAAAAAGACTAGGCCACTCATTCAGAGCCGCACGATCCAGATCTAACGGTTGAAAGGCTGGCAGCTCACCCAACCCAAAACCAGTACAAGTCCATGAGCAAGGCGTACAAGGCAGCACCCCTCGCCGCCGCTGCCTCCCGCCCCCGTTTCCCCTCGCGACTGCTCTGCGCTCCCGCAGATCTCGCCGGCGACTCTACCCGACACGCCCCGCCCCTGCCCGGCGCCATCGCGCCCAGCCCGCAGCCGCCCAGTCCGCACTCGGCGGTAGGCGGCGTTGTGCAGCTGCAGCAGGCCAGCAGCCAGCCGCCCAGCCCGATTTGAGGTACTTTTGGTGAGATTTCTGCCTGTTCCCCAATTTCTGTTTACTCATCACTCATTGCTCGTCGTGCTACCAGCTGCCGGTTCCTCTCTTACGAATTCAGGTGTAATAGCCTGCCTGAGGAATTCAGAGTACTACACAATTTCATCAGCTATCCTCACCTGTTACAGCCGTGGCCTTATAAAACGCCTCACACGCACACGCACACGCACCACACAGCCAACTCACAGCTCGCGCAGGGCACTCACGCCTCAACAACAACCCCGTATGTCAGGCAGCCTCTGAATCGCGATGCACATTCCCTTCGTCGGGACTGCCGGCCATGACATTTGCTTGCTCAGCTCCTCTGTAAATTGCAGTGTATCACTGCTGAATCCTGTCCAGGAATGTTACTGCTTACTACTGAATTGTCTCAGTTTGGGTCGAACAATTGATACACTGTCGAATCAATAAATGTCAGTGTCATATTGAAGAACAGAATGTCAATTAGGACCACACGATTACATATTATATGCATCAAATGTGGAAGAATGAACACATGTGCAGTCTTCTTCGAACTTTTCAAGGCATATATGTAGGCTTAGTTTATGCAAAATTAAGACATTTGGGAATTTTTCATATGTTTGTAAGATCATATTGATCAATTTCTATTGTGCTATTGGTTATTTTTTTCAGGGTGGACCACCCTGTTTCAAAATCCTAGATCTTCCACTGGCGATGATGGCCATGACGCTGCTCGCCGGCGCCGTGGGGACTGCCGGAGCCGTGTCCCCTCAGCCTGACTCCAACGCAGGAGCTGTGATGGCTGTGTTCAAGTACAACTTCGGTGCGCCTCTCTCGCCTCCCTTTCCTTCGAGGGTTACTTCTGGCTCTGGGTGCTTGGTTTTGGGGATCTAAAGCTCAGTGCCCGTGTGTGTGTGTAGCGGCGCAGTTCCTTTCGAGGATCATCCCCTTCCTGTACAACGGCTGGTTCGTGCGCCAGCTCAACGCCGACGACTGCGCGGTGCGGAACTCCCCTGCGCCCTCCTTTCTTCCTTCTCAGTTCAGTGCAGCGAGCAATGGATTTGTTTGATTTCATTCCTCGATGTGGAGCTAGCTAGTTCCATGATGACATTTGGTGCTTTGGAGTTGAAATGCAGTGTCAAGCTTAGCAAGCATTAGTGCGCATTCCATGTGAATTCTAGTCTTTATTGTGGTTAAGTATGACCGTGTCCTCAGTTCATGCCTGCAGTTTTGAATCCTGGCCATGACATGGTTGGGTGGGACTGGAACTCTTCTGGGAGTGCAAAAGTTGGATGTCTGTCCTAAAGTGTGGATGTGTGGGATGGGATCTGTGTGAAGTCAAGTTCTAATTCTAGTTGCAGCGTGTGTTTGTTTCTCTGTGAATTCGTGATAACTGACGGCACCCCAAACTTTGTTCTTTGAGCTACAGAAGAAAAATGATGCATCTGTTCGACCGCATACTGCCATAATCGTAGTGGTTGCTTTCAGTTATTTGAGTCATTCATGTACGTGCATTGTAATGGCTCCCTTGCTATTTTTCGGTTTCTTTACTTGCTAGGAGTTGGGGGATCTTTTCATTTTGGTGAACATTGAATTCCCATGTTATTATTTAAGACAGATCCCGGTTGATCCTTCGTTGTTTGTGTAACAGGCTCAGTATAGTTATCAAATGATGATTGTGCTAAACGGACTTAGTTTGTGTTAGTTTTTTTTGGATAGATATCTTTACTTGGTGATTAAGGTTTTAAGGCAAACTGCTTTGGGGACTTGTGCATCTTCTCCATTAGTAATTAAGCATGACTGATTCAGTAAACACAAACACACTGAATAATTATCCCTCTGTTCAGGGTTTGGAAAACCAGCGGCTATCGTTTGGTAAACCACAACCGGACTGGGTATTTCTTTTTGGTGCACAGTATTGGTTCAGTTAGTCCTCTCCCCCACAGCCCAACCGAACCCTCTTTTAAATCTGTGTGTTATACGGATAAGAGTATAGTGGCATGATTTATGATCCATACGCCGAATAGGAAAAATGCGAAGTTCATAAATAAAACATGGAAAACTGACTGGTCTTAACCGGTCTTCTCTGAGAATCGCAAACCCTCCGTTTTTTGCTAAAAGGAAAAGGTTTCCTCAGTAGCCTGCATCTATGCTTACAGATGTTTCTTGTTGTTAATGTTTTCTAATATGTTTATCATTATCTGGCAGGCATATGCATTGCAGCTTCCACTTTTCATCAATTGTGTCTTATTTTTAAGCCGGGAGGGGTTTCGGCGTGCTTGCTTGCGTAATAATTCTGGGAGGTATTGCAAAATTTACAAACTTTTGAGCTTCATCCATGTACTGTGATTAATCAACAACACTGCAGTTATATAGAATACACAGCACATGTTTATTTGGAGTTTTTCTTTGTCAAATGAGCCACTGAAAGATAGACACTGCAAATTGCGAAGTGCAAAAGCTCCTCCCACAGTTTTTTTCTTAATGCACTACAACATAGATCTACGGAGTACTACATGGCAAGAAGCATGATGTCCATTTGTTACATGCATTGTTTTTAAGGCGTCCCGCCTTGGACGCTTAGGCGACGCTTAGGCGATAAGGCGCCCCCCCAGCGCCTTACAAATATGCCCGCCTTAGGCGCTTAGGCGTCCGCCTTAGGCGCTTAGGCGTCGCCTAGGCGATAAGGCGCCCCCCAGCGCCTTAGGTCGCCTTACCGCCTTAAAAACTATGGTTACATGAAAAACTTGACCTCTAGTGGCACTTGTGCATGGTTTTTTGGCTAGAAAAAAAAATACCGAGAGAAAAATGATTATATCATCTGGCAGGACGATGCAGAGGGGTATTAGAATATAAATAGTAAAGATAGCGAGAGAAAATGTGCCCTCTAGTAGATGTGGTATATTTCTCATGAAGTTTATAGGGCAAGAAGAAGAGAAAAGGTTATGTTGAATTTTGATGCCACAATTGCCCAACAAACTAAAGTATGCAAGTTTAAAATTATTAGGTAAATATTTCATCTGATGCTTTTGGAGCACCCAACACCTATTTGGGGACAGTCTTATACATGCTTAACACTCGCCTGGGCCATCCTCACTTCGTCCAAGAGGGTTAATCCAGAGTTATTAGTTTTGAACCCTTGTGTATAATGTGTTAGCACTATTTTGTTTAAAAACAAAATGTTGTACTATGGCACCACCACTACACATACAGGCCACATGGGCCACCTCCGAAGTAGTTCATGTGTTTAATAGTGGTATGATAGCCATACATTGTAAGTTGAAGGTGAGTAGAGCTAGCATTTAATGCTTTTGGATGTAAATGGATAACTTTGGATTAACCCTTTAGGAGAAGTGGGGACATAAGCCCAAGTGAGCTGCTACGTGAGCACAGCCACATCTAGGGGATGGGCATTGACGAATTGTGTGACAGCTTCACTGTCTGAACTCTGAAGCAATAATGCTTGGATACTTCTCAAGTTCTCATAGTTCATCTTCACCAACTTGAAGTGGGGTACATGCAAAAGAAAAAAAAATCTTTTGTGATGATGTGTACCGTTCCTCAGTCGTCACTGCATTCTCATTTTTTGTGTCTGTTAAACTCTGTTGTTATATTCGCATTAAAATCTATGCCAGTTCTGAACCATGTGAAGTTTTAGGAAAACTTTCTCTGATCTTGTAATATTTTTCCTTGTACTTGCTCGTTGGAGTATTTCTCAACTGATGATTTAATACTTATATTACAGAGGTGATGTGTTAAGTGACGAAGAGATACTGAAGGTAGCTTGGATGATCATCCCGTTTGGCTTGTTTGTGACTTTTATCGGCAGTCTATTTGTGTTGAGAATAAAGAAACTGAAGTTATCTGACCCTTATGCAAAAGCTACATTAATCATCGGTAAGTCTTCCATGAACCATAATTTACTAATAAGTTATTTGTATATTTGTCCCGAGCAAGATAATTGATATTTCATTAAGGACACCTCTCCAAGAGTCAATTTGTCAGTTAGTTGATTCAGTTTGATTGAGTAGGGGAAAATAACAAGCCTCATTAAATTGTTAGAGCCACTGCAATATTATGTCTTATACAAAAAAGTCCAGTTTTGAACCCTGATATATTGCAAAAGTTCACTTTTCAACTGTGAACTCTAATACCATTTGAACTGCAACTTTGAAGTACTGAAGACCATCCAGTTTCACCTGCTGTGATCTCCCAAGTAGTTTAGGGTGATGTGTGTGCCACGTCTCTGCTGTGCCACCAAATTTGACTTTTTTGTCTGTTTCCAACATAAAAAATGATCTGAATGGCAGGGTTTCTTCTTGTCATGTTTGTTTGTTAATGGCAGTGACATGGTGGACACATGCATAGTTGCATACATGTCATTTAAAGTCACTTGTGAAGCCACCTGTGGGTGAAAAGTGGATTGTTTCAATTGTTCAAGGTTGCAACTCAAATGGTTTTTGAGTTCAGGGTTGAGAGTGTTTTTTTTTCTGTCTTAGATTAAATGTAAATGCTGAACACCGAGCTCTTTATCTATAAAATGGACAAGCATTTCATGCTGTCATGCAGCTAAATGGAGCATCTTGTAGAATTGCATGCACTAACCAGTTCTCCCAAAAGCTCAAGCTGATGGGAAAAGGTGGGCTATGCATTTATACTTCAATACATCCCGTATAGATATCCTGCTATTACTCCTACACTAGAGTGCCTTCTCATTTCAATGTTTTGTCCACTTCCCTCACATTGAGATCTGATGTATTTATCTGGTCCAAAATGGCAGGATTTGCGTGTATGTTGGAGCTACTGGCAGAACCTTTGTATATTCTTTCCCAAACAAAGAAATACTACATAATAAGAGTGTATACCGAACCTACAGCTACTCTGCTACGTTGCCTAACAACTTATATCTTCATAAAAGGACATATTAAAGTGGTAATGCCACATTAGCCTTCTACTCCAGTTTATTACCGATCGCATAAAATGCATACACCCACAATGTTCTCATCATTTACACCTGATATTTGGGAATCTACGTTGCACACAATTGCCTTGTAATTATACTTGAAAGGATCACAAATCATTCTGAAAAAAGTGACCATTTAGTGCAACTACCTCAATCTCATTATCTATTTTTTTTGCAGTGAAACCATCTCATTATCATCAAAAAATAAAATATAATTAGTGCAACCATCTAGATGGTCCAACTTTGTGACAAACTAATAATCCAGGACGTTCCAATAGCCAGTCCATACTGTATATTGTATTATTTTGGTATGTGTACCAAGGATAATATTTCTATATATTAGAAGATTTCAACTAATGTATTTTTGTGGTTGGTTAACAAATACAACTGCCCTAATTATAATAAGATAAAATATGGGGAACACTTCCCTTCGGCATTCTTTTGTCCTGTGTTGTACTCATCCATTTTAACTTTATATCTTAAAACATAATAGAGCTTTCCAGGACAAACAGTATAATTTTGCCAAGTGACGTATCCAATTGATAATATTCTCTTCTGTTCACATACCCATTCATGCTTTGTTATGGCATTTTAATTTGTATTACATTTGTTGATCAATACAGTACTATAATAGTGATTTTTTTGCAGGAGAAGCTGGTCGTATTTGCTTTGTCTCAGGTCGTTTATGCAGCCTGCATTTTCATTGGATATTGGACATATTTTATTTTATTTGCTAATATCAGAACTTTTGATCTCCTTCCATTCAGGTTTCTTCTTTATTTGTCCTGTTAATTGTCTAATTGGGCATGAGTTATCACAAGTTAATTATATTTCCTTGTTGATGCCAAAACATGCACATTGTCAGGTTGTCAACCCTGATGGTCTATGATAAACAGTTATTGCACATGTGCATATTGTTTACAGGCCAGACTATCAGGAAGCTGATCCTCCAAGAAGGCGAAAAATTTGTTCTTGTTTGGTTTGATACTCCATTTAACCAGGCTGCATATGGTCTTGTGGATAAATTAGGCAAGTATGTCGAGCACCTTCTATTTCAAGTGCTTTTCTTTAGATAAACGGGAGTTGGCGAGGCGTGGTTCATCAATGCCTCCCACCTCCCTTTCTCACCTTGCTAGAATATCTCCAACAAAAAATAACAAATTAAGTAACTAAAAATACGACGAAGCTACCCAAAATACTGACTAACCATCTTCTAAAAAATCTCTAATGATCTTCTAATTGTTTGCAGGAAGTCTGGTTGTTAGAATAGTTTTCCTGCCATTTGAGGAGAGTTCTTATGCTACATTCACCCAGTTAGCATCAGGTTTCTCTTTTGCATGAATATAAAGTTTCATTTTGATATGATAGCTAAGTACAATTGCTTATCATCTGTTTGGCCTGAAAGATTGAATTTCATGCATTTGCATCATTGCGGTCTACTGATCTGGAGAATCTGTCTGTAAGATTTGCTTATTGAGCATCTCTGTACTTGATTAGTCAAAGGAGGTTAAACTATGTTGTGCTGGTATCAGTTAAACAAAAACACTCATGAGATATAATTTTCCTTTCAAATCCATTTGGTCAGCTGAATTGATTATGTTCTTGTGAAGCGACTGCTTTGTGTATTGGCTACTGGTCGTTTGATATTTCTGCCCACTTTTGGCATGTTTGCTATTCTCATTGTTCAGTATTTAAATTACTCATGACCTGTCTCACAGGAAGTAAGCCTCTTACAAGTACTATGAATTATTATTATTGCTAAGATGAGCATTGCTGCCAATGCAACAAAACTAGATTACCTTCTGCATATTCCTTGCTATCTTAGATTGTAATGTTTAACACAATTCTCGCTTATAATGCTGCTGCTGTCCAGTTGTTAGAGTTTAGATATGACCATTCCTATATCTCAAGCTATCTGAAATTAAAAGTTTTGGCATATTTTCAGTTTGCTGCTGCTGTTTAATAACTTGTCCTTACAATTATAGTTGGCCAATATTATTGAACTCTTAGCAAAATTACTAAAACAATATGTTGTGCGCATTATCTTTGGATTTATATTTCTCTGAAAGAGCTAATGATGGATCCTTATCCACAGGGCAAACTCCTGATAATGTATCCAATCTGGAAGGTTCTTTGCTCGGAGCTCTTAAACTTATTACGCTGATAGGTAAGCTGTCCAATACTGAATGATTGAATGTGTATATTAATCTATTTATCTACATGTTTTAGTTGCTGTCAACTTCAACCTCCTAGTTTTCTGTGGATATTAGATGCGTTAACAGCCCTTGAATATAATCTTCCTCTAACAATGCAGGTCTCGTGGTCATTTCTTTTGGTCCAAGTTATTCATACACCCTTCTGAATCTACTATATGGAAGAAGATATAGTGATGGCGAAGCTACAGCTGTCCTCCGTTACTATTGTGTTTACATAATCTTCTTAGCAATGAATGGTTTGTATTTAGTACTTATATGCAGCAGCTCTGCATATATTCATTCTATAATATTGCAAAGTAGATTTTTTTAATAATGTTAAGAATATTTCATTGATGAATAGTAACTCTGCACTGTACCTGTCAAACCTAAATTATGTATTTGATTTTAAACTAGTTTTTGCAAACCCAGAATTTGGAACATCGGGCATAACAGCCCCAGTTTCGCCCTTTCTGTTTTTAGATTTGTCTTCAGTTATGATGCATGTAGCACAGTAATATATCCAACTTGATACGAGGAACAGTTATAATTTCTTTCCAGCCATTGAATTAGCAGTCACGTTCATCCAAGTTATGACTTTATCTCTCATTTGAAAGCTATCAGTTGTTCTTCGATGTCTCATCCTGCACAACAATGTAGCTGAAGAAAATCTTTATTGAATGAAAACTAACTATACCATGCATTCTCTCGACAAGATTTTGACCTTTTCTGGATTAATATTTTTCAAACAAGAAATATGTTACTGGTGGTGCATATTAATTAAGTTCTGCACAAATGACTTATGTCCTTCGATATTTTCAGGCACTTCTGAAGCTTTCTTTCATTCTGTTGCCAATGAAAACCAGCTTAAGCAGTCAAACAATATGTTGCTCCTTTTCTCAGCAATTTATACTGTTCTAAATGTTGCTTTTATTAAATCCGCCGGAGCTGTTGGGTTGATCGCTGCAAATTCTGTCAGTATCCTTTGGTAATGACTCTGCTATCCTTGTTTTCTTCAAATCAATCTTTTCCTGGGAGCACTTTCTTTGCGCCTTGACTGTCTGTAAAGATATGCTACTGCGAATCTCATATTCTGCAGTATTCATCAACGAGTATTTTAAGGTAAAGTTTCTTGAATGTTCCACCTTGGGATTTTTTCCTTGTATAAGGATTGCATTTGTAAAAAAAAACTGATGACATATTTACAGGGCTCATTCTCCTTCTACCGCTGCTTGCCAGCGGGCTGGGGCGTTCTGCTCATTTCTGGTCTGACCACAGCTTTCTCCGAGAGGATGTTTCTGAATAGAAATAGGTTCAAGCAGACCCTTCCCATTCACATGGTGATAGGTATCATGTGCCTGGGCTTCTCATTGCTTGAGATGTAAGCCCTACATCACCACAGAATGATACTTGCTCTGTTCAGATACTCCATTGGTTCCAAAATGTAGTGCATAGTGATTTTTTTTTTCAAACAAACTTGGTAAGCTTTGACAAAATTTACATGAAATTTATCAACATTTAGAATACCAGATCCATACCATTAGATTCATCATGAAATATATTTTCATATGCTATATATTTGGTACTGTAGTTATAGATGATTATTTATAAACTTGGTTGATCATCCTGACACGGCTTGTTTCTTGAGCAGATATCGTGGTGAAAAGCAGTTCTTGATGAGCATCGTCAAATCGTTGAAGGGCCATGACAAACACACATGAACTTATATATTTGGGACAAGTGGATTTACCCCAGATATATAACTGTTATTGCCATACAACATACGTGTTGTAAATACATGTATACTGGCTAGAGTACCCAAAAGGAGCTGGACCCAGCAGCTGGAGAGGCTTCTTAAAGAACAGATCAAATTGACGGAAATCATAGATCGCCGCTCTGCAGAATTGAATTGCTGTGACAAGTTATAGAGGCGACATAAAGCATAGATCATCTGGTTAGATAGGTGATATATTCTGTAACTTTTCTACATCGGACTTATTAAGATTAAATTGCCGCATGGTTGCCGGAATTTACCATGTTGTGCCAGTCAGGTTTATTTACCTGAGTTTCAATGCAGAACTTTACAAAATTCTTTAATTGTTTAACTAGACAGCTGGGAATGAATTGTGTGGTAATGATTTTATATCTGACGATTGTGCAGTGTCAAGGAGTTGAGTGGACCAACTCCTTAGTTTCATCATGGACATGTTACATAAACAGCGATTTTTCTTGGTGTTGATGTTGATGTGCCCATGGCTAGCATGGCCAGCCCTTCTTCGTCAGAATTGGATGCTTTGGATTTGTCATTCCTTCACTAAGGTGAGCCGTGGGCAAGAGCCTCTGGGTGCTTGTATGGCTGCTCTTGTAATAGAACTATATAGGAAAGAACTTGAAGGCCGATACAGTCTTAAACGTTCTATACATAGATAATTAATTACACACATGTATTACCAATATAAGCATGTAAATACTGGTAGGTCTGGTTACATGTTTTATCAGTTAGAAAACTAAGATGTTCCAGTATATGGAGGGAGTACTAAATACTTGCAAAAGAGGATGCAGGGAAGTTACTGAACATGTGGTTGCCATTTTCTACTAAGCTACTCCCTTTGTTCCAAATTACTCGTCATGGTTTTAGTTTAAATTTGAACTAAAACCAGGACGAGTAATTTGGAACGGAGGCCTACATTGCCAGGTTATCTCCTTGCCCCAAAGAGCACGATAAGCAAATCTACTTTACCACATCCTTCCAGATGCAAGTATGCAACAGCATTTATATTTGGAATCTGAAAATCAGTGGTAGCCATGATATAAATACATGCTGTTTTTTTTTTCCATTCCTACCTACTATAGGAAAGAAGACTATAGTAACACAGGGAGAGGAACACCAAAATGCCAACAATGAAATGCAGCATAAAAAATCATTAATTGCATAATATTTTTTTGTGGGGAACATCAATAATATATGGTAGTACAACTGTCACCGATGAATCAAAGGCAACATAAGCGAGCACGACATTTTGGAGCTCGGCCTCCATGGAGGCCAATTTTTTTTTTTGAAAAATTCAAAATTCATACTTTTTGGTTTTAAAAAATCTGAAAAAATTGTACAAGTATACAAGGATGTGATGTGTATGTGTTTAAAATTTCAGGATGAAATACCTTGAGATGCGATCTGTGCAAAAAGAACAAATTCATGGACTTTTAGGATGAATCGTATCATGTGTTGAAAAGCCACAGATTTGTCTTTTTTAAACAGGCCTCATTTCAACGTATTTCGCCCTGAAAATTTACGCGCAGGTGTGTTATGCCTCCATGTATGTTTGTATATTTTTTCAGAATTTTTTTAAATGTAAAAAATATGTATTTTTTAGAATTTAGAATTTTTCAAAAACCGGCCTTCATGGAGGCCGAGCTCCAAAAGCAATTTTTGAACATAAGCGTACATATAGTTGAAACTGAAACATCAAAAGTGTGCAAGTAAAACAATTTGTGCTCCAGCTATTACCTAATCCAATTAATGGCTGCAACTTTAAGGCCCTAATGTCCTAATGCAAGATGCACAAAGGCTAGGCTTCACTATACCTACTAAATCAGCACAGTTTAGAGAGTTCTTATGGCCTAAATTCCATCGGTGGTTGACTTGAGTTGTATATATTCACTTCTGTCACTGAATTTCAAAGTATTTGAAATGTGATAACTAAGTTTTTCTTCCAAAATAAGGAATTTTCCCCTATATAATTAAGAAGAATATTTCTCAGTTAATTACAAAAAACATGGCAAAAGGAAAAATTAAAATAGCACACGATCTTGCCTATTGCATTCTATCTCATCGTCTCACATTCTGTTCTACGATTCCACTTTGACAAAAGGAAAAAGCTAGACCCAAGGCACCACAAACCGGCACGAGCACGACACCACAAACTTGACACATCGAAAGAAGAAACCTCAAAGGAGATGCCGCAAACTGCATTGTCATCACCCACTGTGAAATGGTCCAATTGCTTCGAAATCACGATCGATGAGCACCGGCGAAACTCTTCACTGCAGACGCAGCAAGCCCACGCACGCCAGTCCACGTACCCGACCATGTGCCAGCGACATGTAGTTTTGATTTTAATGACGAGCTTGGAAGGAATAGCAAAAATAGCGTTGATCCGATCAACCACATGTCCTCTACAATGTCATTGTCACTGCACAAGCGACACCACAACAGCTCCAAATCCAACTCTAGGGGACACAAGAAAAATAGAGCACAAAAATCCATGACACACACCAAAGAGCCGACTAGGAGGCCCTTGCTGCGACCCAAATGATCAACAAGCTACACTGTGGTGAGAGCAACCCTCGTGAAGAGTTTAGGCACCTCAAGATTTTTTTTTAAAGAACAATCCACTTGCCTTATTGATTCATCATAATGTTTGTGGGTATCATAATTACATAATGAGGAATAAGAGGCCAAATATGACGACCTTCTTCCAAAGTTAAAAGCATAACGAGCTAGATTGTGGGCTTCGGTGTTCGACTCCCTTCATTCGTGGACGAAACATGTTTATGTGAAAGCTTGAGAACATGATTTAATCTCCCTCAGAATACTCACGCCATTCCTATTTGTGCCTTGGGCAATGCTGCAAATGCAAATCTGCAGGCATTGCTAGAGGATGATTTGACGGTCTTGCCGTTGTGCACAATTTGAGGGTGTAACATGTAAAGCCACCGCCCTGTGCATTCGTTTGAGGGTTAACTTATTTTAAGCCTTCAGCTTATGATCGCCCACACGTCCAGCATGCGTGGACGGGCAACATTTGGTTCACTGGATCCCGTGTATTAGTTATGCGGAATTAGTGCTTGGTGGAGCTTAGCATACTGTACTTGCACTTGGTGCTATGACAATTTTGCAGCCATTCTCTGTTCTTAGCTATTCTTGTGAACTGGTTGCTTAACAAGTAGTACCTGGAGTTTAATTTAATCTTTCTGAAACCTCCACACTCGGTACGAACGTTGTACCTGAAGTCTATCGTTTATTTTCAATCATTTTCGCTCTGCGCAAAAGCAGTTTCTTGGCGTGTCTTGAAATTGAATTTTCACCAAAAGTCAACATCAAGAGAGTAGAGCTAACCCCGTTGACTTCCTTCCCATGCTCTCTTTTATATAAACTGTGATGCTTGAGCCTTGAGAGGCATTCCTCCACGCACAAACACATCCTTGAGCAGTTGAGCCAGTTGAAGAGATAGATTTAGGGTTTTACGTGGGTGGCTAACATCCAGTCTCACGTCTTTTTATATAGATAATCATAATACAATTACATACATATACAAATACGTGTACATGTACAATATGCTAGACCCTATTTTACACGCCTCCTCAATCTGAACTACATACAAGATTCAGATTGGTTCTAAAACGGTCTAGCATCTGTCGAGTAGCGTGTTTAGTAAATACATCCGCTAGCTGATCGTCAGTTGAGATAAACCTGACTTCTAGTTTACCAACAGCTACTCGTTCCCTCACAAAATGAAAATCAATCTCAATGTGTTTGGTCAGAGCATGAAACACTGGATTCGCCGCCAGGTAAGTTGCTCCTAAGTTATCACACCACGATATGGGTGTGCGCTGCCGTGTGACTCCAAGTTCTGTGAGAACTGTGTCTATCCAAATGGCTTCAGCCGCGCCATTGGCCAATGCCTTATACTCTGCCTCGGTGCTAGACCTCGAGACTGTAGGCTGCTTCTTGGAACTCCAAGATATAAGATTGGGTCCAACAAATATAGCAAAGCCACCAGTAGAACGCTTGTCATCAACACAGCCTGCCCAGTCTGCATCGGTGAATATACTGACTCCAGTAAATCTGAACTTACGAATCCGTAGTCCCGTGTCTAGCGTACCTTTGACATACCTCAGAATACGCTTAACTGAGACAGGAACTGGCACACTTTGTTCACGGCAAAGGAGATATCTGGACGAGTGAGCGTCGGATACTAAAGAGCTCCAACTACATTGCGATACCTGAAAGAGTCGTTAGTACTCAGCAATGCACCACTGTGATGTGAAAGACTCTCGGATATATCAAGTGGAGTGGAAGTGGACTTGCAGTTCTCCATGTTGACGCGATGAAGGAGATCAAGTGCATACTTCTTCTGCATCAATGTCATGCCCCTGAATGAAATGACGCTTCCAAACCAAGAAAGTACTCCAACCGGCCCAAGTCTTTGATGGGAAAACTCACAGACAAGGACTGCACAAGGCGACCACCACAGTAGGTGTAGAACCAGCAATCACAATATCATC